CTCACAGCTAAGGCGAGCTTCTTCTTCAAAGTTATCTCACAAACACTGAACGTCCTTTGCACCATTTAGTCGCAAAGAGCGGAATTCGCCCAGCACAAAGGAGTTGAGGCAAGTCCTCCAAAGGACGCACAGAAGCAGGACACTTCAATCCACCACACGTCTTCAACTACAGAACTGCTGAGCGAGCGAACTACTTTTAAACCCGTCCCTACACCAAAACCGACGCTCTCGCTGGAAATGAGGCACAAATAGGAATCAACCAAGCAACAGCAAATCCCGCTACACTCGCACCGCGCTTCGAGGTCTTTTCCTTCCGCGCTGCGCGGGGAGGGGAGCGGGGAGCGGCGGCGCAGCCCGGGCTCGCCCCGCAGTCCCTGCGGCGGGCGGGAGGAAGGCGCTCGGCGGCCCGGGGAGGCTCCCCAGCTCCCTCCCTCCTTCCCGCCCTCGCCCGGCCGGGGGCCACACCAGCCCTTCCCGGCCGCCGACACGAGCAGGGGCGGCTCGCCCGGCCTGCTCGGCGGGCCCCAGACAAAGGAAGGAAGGAAGCGGGGACGAACCGGGGCGAGGAGGCGACGGCAGCCCGGCTCCCCCCGGGCGAGCGCGGCCGCCGCATCCGTGTGCGCTCAGCCAGGGCCAACTCCGGCGGCGGGCGAAGTGACCCGGAGGGCACCGAGCCAGGCCGGCGTGCGAGAGGGAAGAGGAGGGAGAAGCGGCGGCGGGAGGAGGAGAGAGGAGCGGGGCCGGTGGCTCACCAGGATCCGCTTGAAGAGGTTGCTCTCCTTGGGCGGCAGCGGCACGGACGGCATGGCGCGGGCGGCCCTGGGACAGGCACGGCTGGTGGGGGTGGGGGCGGCCCGGGAGGGGCGGCTGTCGGTACGAGGGACAGGAGGAGGGGGAAACGCCGGGGAGGAAAAGCCCGAACTCGGCGGGGCGGCGGCGGCGGCTCTTTAACTCATAGCCCTGCGCCGCCCGCCCTCCCCGCCGGCTCCCCCGGGCCCCTGTGCGCAGCTGCCGGGGCGCCTCGCCGCCCGCCTGACGCTGCAAAATGGCCGCCGGGGTCCCCTCGGCGCAGGCGCAGCGCCGCTCCCCTCACAGGCACCCCGTCCGCACGCCCGGCCCCAGGGCACAGAGTGAGGATTCCCTCCGTGATTCCCTGCGCGATTCCCGGAGTGGCGGCTGAAGCGCTCCACTCCCGGCTCGAACGGCCGCTCCCGGAGAGCCAGGCTGCCCCCAAGCCTGGGAGGGAGGCGGCGTTGGGAAGAAGCGCAGCCTCCGTCGGCGGCGGAGCTCGGAGAGGCTCTGCGGGCTTGCAGTGCCCTGGCTGGTATTTAAGGAAACAACAGCAAACTTGGCAGCCAGGCTTTGAGCAAGCGGGGACGGCCCCCGTCGCATTAAGGCATTTTCAGCAGTTGGTTATGTAAAACTTCCCGACACCATCGTGCGCCCGTAGAACGGCGCCGTTTATTCATCGCTTGGCTCCTTCAACGAAGGAAGTCTAAGGTCTTGTATTTTTTACTAGTTATTCTCAAAAATCGTTCTTAAAAACAAAACCAAAACAAAACCACCGACAACCAGGAACACTAAAATTGGTTAAATTGTCTAGGTTACAACCATTTAAAAAGACCATCTTACAGAGAAAATAAACTAGGCGACTGCAATTAAAATCTCTGTTTACATAATTGACCTTTAGAAATATTAATTATATTTTTGCATTTATTTCAAAGTATCTTAGTTCTGTAATAATATGGTTACCCACCTACAGTCACAGATGATGAACATGATAGATATCCCCAAGTAAAGCAAGTGTGCACAAAATAGTAACTCACAAGAGCCAATTAGAAAATCTGTGTACTTAATATATTTTTATTTGGTACTTGGTAAGTAGATGACTATGAGACTGAGGATCCCAAGCAGCATGTCCTTAACTTGACACAAGCCTTGCTGAAGCTGATGACACGATAGCTACTTATCTTTCCAGCTAACAGAGGGGACAACAGAGTAGACAATTTCTTGGAAGAATGTAACCTGGATGTCAGCCTAACTTGAGGACTACTAGTTGGGGGGGAAAAAAGTTGTATGTTTAGGAAGTCTCCTGAGATGAAAATAGCAAAGATGAGAACACAAAGTATGTGCTTTCCTATAGCTCTTTTTAGCTGAGCCATCAGCTTATCCACACTTTTTGTGAATGGTTGTTGGTTTCCATAGTGTTTTCTTAATCTCTCTAGATGTATGGTCTGTCATAAGGAATATCTCTATTGTGTATATTTCTCACTTTTTTGTTCTGACATGCTTCTAATGATGTCAGTCAATAGAGTCACTGATCACAATATGTGTGTTTTCCACATGCAGTATCCAATTCGCTGTTCTTTCTGCTATATGCTGTAGTAGTGCTGCATTGGGTATCCGATTTTTACAAAGCAGGAGTATTACTGACAGGGATGGCAGCCTTGGTTTTGCCCTGCAGCATCATTTTCAGAGCCTGTTTGTACCATGTTAACAACTAGCTGAAGCCTTGACTCTATGAACCCTGGTTTCTGTCTTAGCAAAAGACATGTTATGCCTCTGGTTGGGTTGAATGATAAACAGATGTATCATGGAGAATGGTCAGACAAATATTGTGCTAGGTGGACCTTTGATCTGAAGCAATAAGGCTGTTCTTGATAGCTAAAGGTCTCTATTTCTTGATAGTCCAAACACTGGAAAGAATGCTGTCTGAAAGTAGACAGATTGCAAATAAGAGACAAGGGTTCAATTTGCATCTAGATGTGTCCATATTAAAAGTCTGTGTTAAAAGCAGCAAGAAAAAGAAAGCAGAGAGGCAATAAGAGAAACGTTTGTAGGCTAGCTGGGAGAGAATAAACAAAGAAATTAGCTTTGTGGGAAGGCAGAGCTCCAACTGAAAGTGAGGTTTGGGAGTGCAGTCAAGAAAACTTCTTGTCATTTAATCCCACTGTGCTGGGCAAAACAAAGCTCTCTCTACAAGCTTTGTTAATAAACAGGACTGTATTCAATATGCGTATGATTCTGTCACCATTTTTTCCTTCAAACAGAAAGATAAACAGAAGATATCTGAACTGTTTGGGCTGAAAAGGGGGGGGAACAATAGTGAAGTGTTACATATATTGTAACAAGTTTGCTATTTTTGTGGTGTGTGTAACTTTGCTCATGTGGAAGTTGGGGGAGATGCTGGGACACCATTAAACCTAGTCAGGACACCCTCGGTGAAGAAGGGCCCTTGCATGGGCATGGACCTGCCTTCAAGTCAAGTACCTTGTAAGGCCTGGAGCCTGTTCTGTCTGATGAGCCATCCCTTTGCCTCCAGTTTCTAAATTGGCAGGTTAAGAGTGACAGGTTTTATATCATATCTATCCCTAAGCCCAGGACCCCAGCTGTCTTCCTGCTGTCACTTTTCCCTTCTGCACCCAATGTCACTGTGAGTTGCTGAGGAAGGTGGTGGCACAGTGCCCCAAATAGCCCATACCCCATAATCCTTGATCCTCACCTGCTCCATCAGCAGCTGCTGCTTCAGCCATGCAGGTTTTAAGGCATTGAAACAAACTGTGAGAGGGGTAGAAGCACAGATTTCACATCCTTCATACTTGGTTCCCATACTGCAGTCTAAAAGCACACAATAAACTTAGGGAAAGAGTGTATCTTACATGTTTTGAATATGAGATGCATGGACAGGTCCTGTGGTGGATGGTCCCTGGAAACCCTGCTGACTGCACAGAGTCCAGCTGTTGTCTTGCCTGTGTGACCCCTGCATGCTTTGCTGCCTGGTAGAGAGGGAGCAGGACTTTGTTAGTCTCTATTTTCACACTTAAGTTAAAACATTCACTCATAAAGCATAACAAAAACTGAACATGATCATGTTTAATCAGAGGATTTAATGCAAGAACCATTACTGGCTGGAGTAAAAGCTGATTTAATTTTTCTTGGCCTACCCTCTTCTTTTAAAACCAATTTTGGAGCACGAGATCTACTTGCAGTTTCAGTTTATCAGGTTCATGGTTGTTCTCCCAGAGAGTACCTTCCCAATGTTTTAAGTATCACATTGCATATTTAGAGTACCAATGCGAGTATAATTTTATTATTTCATTTGACTGAGCCCCAGAAATCATAGTGGAAGAGTGAGGTACAATGGGAATGGTGTCTGGCTGATGGCATCTCTAATGGCACATTATTGTTGGCTCAGGGCTGGAGAAGATTTCAGGGTGCTGTTTGCCGTGGCCCTTTTGAAGACTGGACCAGCTCCGGGGTGGGTCCCGTTCTCTGGAAGTGATTTTCCATCTGTCTGCCTTGCCTCCTGTCCCCACAGGTGGAGCAGAACCAGAAACTCCTCAGGTCTAAACAAGCAGTTAGTATCATTCGGGCACCGATGTTTGATCTGAATCCTACCTGTGGATTAGTCCTGTTTTCAGTCTTTTGGAAGGAATATTTACCACAACAAATCTCAATGTTGTTGTACATTCCAAATACAAAAGTTTTATCTTTTTCTTTATTCTTTTTTATTTTGAAGAATAACAGTAGCTGGGAAGAAAGGTATTTTGGTATTATAGGTCTAAAAAGACATTGCTTAAGTATTTTAAAAATTTTAATTAGGGAGATAGTGGTATAATGTTTAATAATAGCTTTTAAAATGTCCGCATACATAGTATGTTTTAAAACATACTTTATGACGAAGCTGCAGCTAACTAGCATACTCATAATCAGAATGGTAATGTTTATTAATATTTTGTTTGCCTTTAGTAGCACAGTAATAATTCATTTAAAATAGAATTGAATAGTGAGCTTTGACACAAAGTGGAGCTTAATATTATTTTATGCAGATTTCTCTGAAATTAATCTTTTACTAACCAGATTAGAAAGGCGGAGGCCGCCTTTGCCGCGGGAGTGGCTCAGGCGGTGCCGCGCGGTGCCGGTGGCGGCGGGGAGACGGGAAGCGCGTTTTCCCGCAGGCATGCTGGGACTGCGAGTGCTCCCGCCGCACTTCCCGTCTGCCATGGGCCCGGGGTTCGGGCTGCGATCCGTGCCGTGCCCGGGCGTGCGGACGGTGAGTGCCGGAGCCGCGCCGCGGGCACCGGGACGCGCGGCCCCCGCCCCGCCCCTGCTCCTGCTCCTGCCTCTTCTTCCCGCTCCTGTCGCCTCCCCCTGCCCGCTCCTGCCTTTCCCCTCCGCTCCTGCCTCTCCCTACCCGCTCCCCGCGGCTGTCGGGGTTTTGCTCGGGCTGGCCGCGGTGGGAGGCGGAGGTGTGTGGGAGGTGCTCCCGGAGCGCGGCCTCGAGAACTACTCCTGATCCAGTCGGTGTGCGCTGGAGTATCTCCTCCTGCCGTGTAGCTGCGAATTCCTATGTGTCCGAGTGCTGCTGCATCTTTGGGTGCTAGAAGTGCATTTTATAATCTCTGAAAGAGTTCGCGAGATTGAGAACTCTCTCCTGTCTTGAATTATTTTTTTAAACTATTATTTTTAATGGGACAATTACAGTTGTCACTTCTGCGTACTGGTTTTTGATTTGTGATGTGCACGAGGTAGTTTTAATCGCATTTAAAAGTTGTTAAAATCTGGTTTGGAGATGATTTAATAGGTCATCTAATGCTCATAGCTCTGTAAAAGTTATATGTCTGTTTATTTTTACGCAAATGTGAGGCAACCCCTCTCTGAGAAGGAGATACCTTTTTTTTAACATAGCAAAATTATTTTGAAACTTCTGACTTCCTTGAAGGTCTGTGTCATTTCATTACTCTTTTTTTTTCCTTTTTTTCCTTTTTTTTTCTTTTAAACCCAAGAATTTTATTCCTGAGAACTCAGGCAAAGCAATACAACAAATTTGTTATTATTTGAGTACATTGCTTCTTAGCAACACCAGTAAAATTAGCTAGATGGTTGTAATTAATATATTTAATGAATTAGTTAAAATATAGCATTAATATTTTAAAATTGACTTGATGATGGTCGGCACTTAGCCAAACAACAACAGGCCATGATCTGGATGCAAGTCCATATTCATCAGCAGAATTAGGCCTTTTGGAACTGAGTCCACTCATGCCTAAATCCAGGATGATATATGATGAGCTTGATTTGTGCCTTTTGCTGTGTTCCTGGTAAAGGGAACAGGATCTCTCTGCTGCAGCTGTTTTTAGTCACTGTAGCAATCCAGGAGGGGTTTTTTGCTTTTTGTACATTAAAGCAGTCTTGAAATTGCTGCTGTGGATTCGATAGCACCTGCTGGCTGGAGAATCTGGGGAGGGTACAGAGGTAGAATAAAGGTCCTTCCCTCCTTCTGTAGTAGTAAAATGAGCATTCAGACAAGATGCAGTACTTCTGGTTTTACTGCATATTGCTCTTTCTTCATTGTGGACAAATGAATGGAAATAAATAGGTGAGAATAACGAGTGAGTTGAGTAGTTAGAGTGTCACAGTAATTTGTTAATAAAATGCATGAAGATGCACAGAAGGTCTTGTCACTGATGAGTAAAAAATAATTGTGTCAGGAAACTGAACGTGTGTTTCCAGGAGATCTTGTTGCAAAAAGGTTCATGCTCTTATTTTCTCAGAATCCACTTTTTTGTAAAAATCAGTGGGCAGATGGGACTGTGGCACTGGCAAAGTTACTAGGAATGCTTCTTTGTATTTTAAACCTTTTCTGCATGAGTAGTCCTTGAATAAGTGTGATCTCAATTTAGTCCTCCTGGTAGAGTCTCACGCTCCAATATAAAATTTTAGAGCACCGTAGTAATTCATAATGTAGTTTGCAATGTTGATGATCTAAAATGAAGAGGAAATGATCTTTCATAGGGCAGCAGTAATGCTATGGGGAGCCTGGGTCCTATAAAACTGTCGGCCAAGCGTCTCAGAAAAATACATGAGTTATATTTCAGAGTACCTGCTTCTTACTCACTTTTTGGATGGAAACTATTATGTTGCTTAACTGTAAGTATATCACAGGAAGGAGTATATATGGGACATAAAGCAGTTCTTCTGTCTTCATATATGAATGAATGATTTTTGTAAGTGCACTGCAGTCTCCTATTGACCAATCTGTTGCATGGTCATCTACTAATGTCCTCCTTTTGTGGTAGTGGATATAGTTTGGCACATAATTCTGGACATTCCTTACATTCTCTATATAGAATTCTCTACCTCTAGTATTGATTTGTCTTCTCAACAACATTTTTCTTTCATCAGTAAGGCATGAAATGGTTGGATTTTTCCAATGAGACATATGGCAAAATAAAGCTATTGTCTGTAAAGTCTCATCCACAGGAGCTTTTCCCTAGTGTAAATAAACTGTTTGAGGAGGTGAGAGAAAAGACATTTTCCAACCCTTGGTCAGTACAATGGTGGTGATGAGAGCTTCTGGTTTAAACTGGGACTAAAACAGGAATAGTTTTGTCCATGACAATTGCATTTGTGTTGGTGGAATCAAACCAGGATATGTGCTTGATACCATCCTTGTGTTTGTTTGTTGTGGTTTTTTTTAATAGAATGCTTTCTTTTTCTAGATAATAACACTGGCCAATGTACTGTGTACTTTTAATTTCAGGTGGTGGAAAAGTAAGAAACAAAATGAAACCTTTCCAAAAGGTCTGTCTTTTCAAGAGCCTGCTTGCCAATTGCTGCTGTCACAGCCAACTTGACAGCTGTCTTCTCCCTCTGGTTGCAAAGAAGATAGGCTGCGTGGTGGGACTGCACAACCATGGATTTTGGAGGCCAAAGCCTTTATTGGACACAGCTAGATTCACTCTGTCTTTTAACAGTCGGCACAGGAAAAACCATCGGGATTCTCAAGCTTTATGGAAGCATGAGGCTGTACAGAAGTATCTGGAGACTCTAAGCAAGGAATACCAGCAGGTTAGTCATCAGTTAAATGCAGACTCATTAAATGACTTTGAGCAAAGAGCCCTGAGGAGAAGATGTGCCGATCTGTCCCCTATTGCAGCTGCATTTCAAGAAATCAAAGAGGCTGAAAGAGAAGTTCAGGAGTTAGAAGCAATGTGCACAGGTAAGGGAAAACACATCTACTTGCTTGGTTCAGAGCAACTTCTGTGCTTGTGATAAATTTTATTGCCCAGCCTTTGAGGAAAGCTTGTGAGTAAGTTCAGCCAGCCCTGGAACACTCTTTGGTTCTCCCTGCTCCTGGGAGCTTGCGTGCTGCAAGGGCTTTCTGCATCCAGCCACATCCTTCTGTTTTTAATCTCACCTCGCTTTAGTTTGAGGTCTTAATATGGTAATTTTGGGAGAGTAGGGATAGTCTGAACCTCAGGGATATATATCTAACAGAAATAGTTGGGAAGCGTTTGTTTTGAGGTTATTTTTTGGCTGAACTGAGAGCAGTTGGAACCGGAGAAAAGTAGCAAGCCTAAAACCTTTGATAGATGCAGACCTCAGCCGTGTTATTTAAAATGGGATTCCATCTGACCAGTTCCGTGATATTTATTGAGCAAATGACATGAACTTTCATTAGACTCTGAGTTGTCAGCTTCCAATTTAAATGGCAAAAGCTAATATTTCTTTGAAAATATTTGGGGAGTCCTTTAAGGAATAAAAAATGATGGTTGTTGAAGAAGCTGCTGTTTTTCAATAGTCTTCTACAGTAGAAGTTGGGGTAAAAAAAGGATTAGAAATTGTCACTGGTTTTTGTACCATTTAGGAATAAGAAGGTACACAGGCAATAAATAAAATAAAAGAAAACTAATTAATGAAAATAAAATAAAATAGAAAAGAAAAGAATTAATGGTGCAACATTTGGGGAAACAACCCAAGTGTTGTTACAAGTGTGAGGACGTGCACATAGTAGGAAGGAAAAAATGGCATCCATTCTGCTACAGTGGCAAGTATTAAACCAAGAGAGGGAAACACTGACCTGAGGAGAATGGAGTTTACATCAAAGCAGTGAAGGAGGGGAAAATCAGGACAGGAGAAATCAGTACCCAGCAGTGTAAATGGAGGAGAACAAAAGTTCATGGTGCTTTTCGGAGGGAGAGCCGAGGGTGTGCAGAAAGCAGTAAGAGCCATACTGAAATAATGATGTAAATGTAACTTACTTAGACAGGTAGAAAACATTTGTATACTTTAGTTTTAAAAATAAATAGATGCTTGTGCTTTTGGGTAAAAAAAAGGTTATTTAAAATATTTTAATCCTCAACTCTCTAATTCTCTTCACTGGAAAAAAGAGGAGGAGGAGTGAAGGAGACAAGGTACAGAAATTTAATGCTGAAGAAGAAATGTTCTTGAAATAATTTAAAAGTATTATGAATACTCTGGAAAATTCATACTTCAAGTTAGAAAGGCTATTTTTAGATCAAATGAATACAATCAAGAATTTTTCTAATTCCATAAATTATGATGTGGAGGGATGGAGTGACTTCTAGTTGAAAGAAGGGAAAAGAATGGTAAAAAATTACAGCCAATAAATTAATTAAATAGAGGCAAAACCTTTTGTACCATTTATTCTGTGGCCAAGTTGAAACACAGATGTCCCCTTCATTTGGCTGTTCACTGTTTTCCACTTAGCTCCCTAACTGACCCTCTTCTCTCTAGTACCTGAATTCCTGACAATTGATGTAGGATTTTATATTTGCAACACTCAGTGAAGCAGAACAATATTTCCCAGTTTCCCTCTGGTGATGTGAGTCACGAGGTAGGTTAAGTGAATTCTGTTTTGCAGGGAGGTAGGAATGGGATACCAATCCTTTGAACCTGAGGCTCACTGGTCACCACTGGACCATCTCAGTGCTGTTGACAATAGTTAATTGGATACTACTTGATAATAGTACTTGATACTATTTGATAATAGTTAATTTATCTAACTGATCAATAAATACACTTTTTGGACCAGCTAGAAGCGATTTGAGAGTCCAATTTCATGCTGCATCTGAGACAAACCTATGGTTTCCGTGCTGGCCACAAGGCAGAAGGTTTTCACCTCCTCTGTTGCTTTGTTCCCTCACTTTTACTCCCAGCTGCTCAAAGCTGGCTTCAACCATTCCCTCCTCATTTGTGTTGGTAATTGTCCAGTTGTAATTTAAATCTAGTTCCTCTTGGCATGGTAAAAACATGCGTTTATTCAACCAGACTTGCTTTCTTAATTTCAGTGAGTTGAATTGTTTCTGGTGAGTAGAAATGTGGAAAGAAAGATGAAAAGGAGAAGGGGTTCCCTGTTATAACAGTGACAGGTTTTCCACTTGACTCCAACTATCTTCCAAATTCCTACTCAGTGTATAATCTATTGCTACTCATCAGCGTTTGTTGTTGCTGTAAGCTGGAGCCTCCATAGCAGAAAAGGCTTGGAGCTTCTTTGAGCTTTATCTGAGAGTGTGTCGTAGTTTGTTAGTAAGCTCTAAAATAAGGGAAGGGGCAGTCTAATCACGGGTAAAATATCTGCTGCTCCTTCTAGCACACCTGGAAAGTATGATCATTGAGTTAGCAATGTGCATCCTAGCTTGGGCTGCTCTTATTTGAGTGTTTCATGCTGGCAAAACACTTCCAGCTTTTCTGTGCTGCCTGTCTTTGGATAGCTGTGTTATGATTTGCTCTAGGTGAGACTGGCTAACAATCTATTCCTGTTGTTGGAATTTAGAGCTTGACAGCAGAGATGAGAAACAACTTCTAGAGCTTGCCTTAGAAGAGAAGGAAAGCCTGGATAAAAAAATGAACTTGTTGTGCAGAAAGGTGAGCCTGAGGTAAAATTTTACAGCTTTATAAATAAAGATGTCAGAAAACCTTTTCTTTATGATCTTACCAATAGATTCTGACACTTGAGTTTAACGAAACAGAAGTCCAGCTTCTGCATTCTTCCTGAAAAGAAGTGACTACATTAATTATTAGTAAGCTTCTTAGTGACAATTGTGTTTTAGAAGATGATTAATTGAGTAATTTCTCTTGCTTGCTTGTCTGTCTGCAAATGCTGAAGGAGATTAAAAAAGTGGTGAGTCTGTGCTACTGAGACTTGACATGACATCCTAGTAACTGTTTGTGGCGGTGGAGCATGCATTCTTGAAGGATCTCTGATTGGAACTTGCAGTCCTTCATTTTCTCTTCAGCTGACAGCACCCCATGAGTGGGGAAAATATAAGCAAAGAAGTTGAAACAGTTCCATGGAGACCACTGTGTTTGGGCTCATTTCTATACTCAGACTGAAATAATATGAAATGTGACTTTCTGAAAAAGGAGATTAATGTAAAGATTGGCTGGGTTAGCTAATAACTTTGTCTTCATAGGTAACTGGGGCCGGGGTGGGTGACCTGGCACCTGACTTGGCAGGATTGGATTTTCAGGTAGCTTTCATGTGGATGCTCTAGCATGTTGCATTTCCACACTGACTGCACTGAGTTGCCATGGTCATTGGACAGTTTTTAGTCCTACTTAACTGGCTTGCCAAAGGAAGTCAGTGGCTATGTATGCTCAGACTGTGGCAATTGTGAAGGCTGGCTGTAAATTTGATTCAGAGAAGATCCAGGGTAATGAGGGAGATAACGGCATTTTTTATTTTTTTTTCAGCTTTTCCAGCTTCTAGTGCCAAAGGAAAAATATGATAGAAGTCCTGTCATATTAGAAGTGACAGCTGGCAGAACAACTGGAGGTCAGCAAAGCCCCTACAGTGAAGATTATTCCAACATCCATCCAACTCCATTAAACCTCTTATGGGTTATTCTTAATGCTTTTTTTATACTTTATTGGCATAAAGTAATACTTTCTAAAGATGAGCATTAACCTGACTAATGACTGGGGTTAGAGTTGCAGCTAAATTTAAAAACTGCTGTTTATGTGGTAATGCCTTTTAATTTTTAGGGGACATCTGCCAGCAGTTCACTAAAGAGATGTTTGAGATGTACCAGAACTACGCTGACTACAAACGTTGGACCTTTGACATCGTGAACTATACACCGGCTGAGATAGGTACAGCAGTTCTTCAGAGGTTCCACCAAGACAATGAAATTGAAAGCAGTGTTCCTCTTTCTGTATTTGTCACATACTATTTGTCTCTCCAGGAGGCTTGCATCATGCTGCTGCTCATATTTCAGGAGAGAATGTCTACAGGCATCTGAAATACGAAGGAGGGACTCACCGAGTCCAGCGAATCCCTGAGACAGGCATGTCGTCAAGAATGCAGCGTATTCACACTGGGACAATGTCAGTCATTGTCCTCCCTCAGCCAGAGGAGGTAAACTGTTCAGTGGCATGGTAAGGTGGTGCTGAACCCCTGCTCACCCATTTTGGCATTGGAGTAGGTGTTATTTAAAACCGTGTTACTGTTTTAGGGGTTTCACTGATAGCCAGGTGTTTTGTGCAAGTCCCAGCAAATGAACTGCAAATGCTCTCACTCTGGGAGTTGATAGTCCTTGGCTCTGTACCTTACATGTATAAATGGATCATCAGAAGCAACTTTGCAGAGATTTGCTGTTGCTTGAAATGGCAATGTGAGTGATCATTTAATTAAGTGTTCCAGCCCCAACACTGACAACTATGAGTAAGCCAATTTTAAATTACATCATGTATTAAGACACAGAATATGTCCAAGAAAGTACTCAGTGTTGCATGGTAATGTGATTCTGTACATCCTTTTGATTTTTTTTTGTTTCATTTAAATTATTGGTGTCCTTCTCTGGTAAATCAAGGACAGTCTCCTTTGAATGTGAATGAGTGTGTTGTCTACCCGGTCTGAGATCTCACTAATACCAACAGTTCTCACTTAGACCACCAATTTACACAAAAAACCCCCAAACCACCAGATCCTGTAGGCTTTTCCTGCACCTTCTCCTATTTCTTCATAATACTTTCCTTGCAACATTGATCAGATCTGAACGTTCCTTTCCTATCCACTGAGCTTAAACTGTGGTCCAGGTCATCATGGACTCCTATTTCCAGGAGTCCAATCCTTACCTGAATGGATCTGGATGTACCTATTTTCTCCTCAGATGTTCTAAGTACTGTTGCAAGAATCACTCAGGCTTGACTCATGAACAAGATCCTTGCACTGCTCTTTATAAGTGGTTTTTAAATATTTGCTTATTTCTTAGTCTCTCTGCCAAAGCTAGTAGTTTTGCAAAATAGTGACTTTGCTTTGTTTTGTTTCACACACACACACATACCTTATTTTGTGAAGGGCCTGGAGTAAGAGTTTGAAAAACTAAGTGAAGTCTCTAAGGCATTATTTGCTTTTCAGAGATATTTGCCACTGCATTTTTTAAATTATAGTGATTGACTGTTATTTAGGAACAGTTGTAAAGGAGCAATTTTTTGAGAAGTGATTTCTTATTAATGCTGAGTGTCACTGACATCCAAATATTTTTAGAATGAGCAGGAAGCAGTAATTTTCTTTGATTCTAGGTTGATGTTAAAGTGGATCCCAAGGATTTGCGTATAGATACATTCAGAGCCAGAGGAGCAGGAGGGCAACATGTTAACAAAACTGATAGTGCTGTGAGGATTGTGCACCTTCCCACAGGTAAGTCTGGCTGTACTTTGTACTTTTAATCACACTGAATCTGTATCTTGAAAAGGAAGCTTGTGATCCTGCAGGTTGTCTCTTGCAGGGCTGGGCCTTATACCAAAAAAAGGGAAGTAGCTCCTGGTTCTGTCCCTCTTGCAGCCAAGCAATGTGAAAAAGGGGCTGTGTACCAGGGGCAGAGTGATTTATGCAGTTTTGTCTTTAGAGGGATTGTGTCATGAGCACACTGTCTTTGAAGGATGAGAGAACAAATGGAGGGTAACAGGGATAGGGTAGAAGATGTAAATAATTTGCACTGTGTGCTCTGTACCTTCAGTAGTAATGGCCACTGGCAAGCAAGGGCATGCTTAGCCTAGCTAGAATCTGTACACTTACATGGCTGATTAAAAAGAAGGCTTGAAGATTTTCATTCAGTACTAGATAATGCTATCATATGTTGGATAGAAAGGAAAATGTATATTGATGAGAAGTTATTGTGGAGGCTGGACCACTTTTTTGGGATGTGTTTTATTGAAACTCAGTGAGCTTCTCTCTGTACAGATACAGAATCGCTTTAGGCCAGGGAAATTCCAGTAGTGACCTGAAAACAGCTATATGTTCCCTATATGCCTTTTTCTTTCAGAAATCAAATGAGAAGTTATACATTTCTTTTAAAGACGTTTATTTTGTTTCATCTCATTTTTCATAATTAAGTTCAAGACTCACCAGCATTGATTAGGCACTCCTTTCTCCTAGAATAATGAATTTTCCAGTCTCCAAGAACTTACCTGGAGTAAGATTTTTAAAACTTGTGTTACACTCTTTTAAACATGCTCTTGTAAATTGTTCAAATTGCATTTTTAATGAATGACAGCTAATTGGAGTGAACCCAGTTTCTGGAGGCAATGTCAGAAACTTGTTTGCTTCATGAAATTTTAAAATATCCCTGACTTTTCTCTAGCACAGAACAAAGGCCCCTGGTGCAGCTGTGACAAGTTTAAAAACGCACTACTGGTTCTGGCCAATGTTTTAAAATGACTTTTTATCCTACAGCTGAAAGGCCCTCCAAACCAGCACTCCAGTAGGTTTCATTTGCCTAATGCGTTAGAATTAATTCAGTTTGTTTGTCCTTTGTTATAATGGGCTCTTGGGTGCCTGTGAAGGACTGGCAGTTGAGTGCCAGCAGGAGCGGTCGCAGCAGATGAACAAGGAAATAGCTCTGCGGACACTGAGAGCTAAGCTCTACCAGCAGGTCATTGAAAAGCAGCTCAGTCAGGAGCAGAGCGCCAGGAAACTGCAGGTGAGGACAAGGGGTGCCTGGGATCTGGAGAGGGGCTTGTGCTGTAGATTTGTTTCTGACCTCTTTGGGTGACGGGGACAGAGCAAGTCAGTGTGTGTGTCTAGCTAGGAGTGCTTGCAAGGGAGGAGAATCTTGTACTTAAAATGGTAAGTCTGCCTTTACATACCCCAGTTCAATGCTATTGTAGACTTCTCAGGCAATGTAAAGAACATATCAACTGTGGTTGGAAAGAAGAGTCAAAAGGCTGGCTGAAATTTTTCAAAAGAGAAAATCCAACATCGTGTACTGAATGCCGCCGTTAAGGCCAGAATTACACAAATTAATCATCAGAAAAAAGTTGCATTCGATGAAAACTGTGGTTAGGAGTTCTCAGAAGTTTCTCAGAAGTTTCCGGAGAGTATTTTAAGGCCATACAGAGCTTTTGAGAGAAACAAGTAAATAAACAATCCTGCCACTATGCAATTAAGTAGCAGCTTATTTGATACAGTTTAGGTAACCTTTTGAGGAAGAAACAGCTTCTGGAAGAGTTACCTCAAGTCAGGCTGTAGCGTGTGCTTTTTTCTCGAAATGTCTTGTCATTCTTTTCCCGTTCTTTGAGTATTTTCCAATTTGTGGTTCAAACTTCAACAGTGATCTATTGGAATAGAAATGCTTCAGACTTTTACTCAGAACTCCAGATTTTCCAGCTCAGCTATTAAATCACTTATTTCAGGTTGCCTTTAAGCGTGTTGTCCCTGCAGATTATTAACCCCATGGTTGTAAGCAGTGAGCCATTTATCTTTTGTTTTTAATTTCAGTTTGAGAGCCTTCAAAGCTACATAAAGGACTTAGATTTATATTTGTATTAATATTTGTACTAATATTTATATAAATATGTGTATATTTATATAATTTATATGCATTTATATGCATATTTATATGACTGGTGTGGAAAATCAAGCAAAAGTAAATTACCTTTCCTAATGTTTCAGAATTTATTCAAGAAATTCCACGTTCTAAAATACATGTTGAGTGCAGATGAAATTTTCAACAAAGTCCACTGAAACAGACACCCATTTATTTCTCTGAGTATTTTTTAGCATTTAATTCTCCATTTTAGTGGAGACCACAGTGTTTAGTGAAGTGTTTAACTCCTGCAGTGCTACATTAGGGTTTCTGCTTCAAAACTTAGAATTACTGTTTGCACTCTCACACTTCACCACTAGAGGGTAACTTAACTTCTTACTCTTAATTTAAATCTCTTTTGGTGCTGATTTCCGACAGCCCCATATTGACTGTGCTGCTTCTGTTATTAATGGAGCCAATTTTCATTATTTTGTGTCGAAGCTACAACCTCCCCCCAGAAAACCCCACTTGTTTATTTTTTGAAGTAAGGACTTTCATACGTTACTAGACCTTTGAGAGTTATGTTGTTCTTTCAGCTACAGAGATGGAACAGAAATGTGCTGGAGGATATAGAAATTTGTGATACAGAATCACAAACAATACAGTTCAGTAATGCCACAATATTTTTAAAAATCCCATGTGCCAAGCCAGTGACCACTAGGTTGGTAGTTGGCCCAGGCTGATCCATTACAGTTTATTTAAAGTATGCTGTTGTAGAGAAGTATTTGTTTTTTCTAAATCACAACAGATTTTGCTTTTTCCTGCTTTGCTGCAGTTAGGAACAAGAGCCCAGTCAGAGAGAATTCGTACTTACAACTTCACCCAGGACAGAGTCACTGACCACAGGATCTCCTATGATGCACGCAATATCAAGGTAAAGGTTGCTATGAGAGTATTTAGATACTTATGTTTACCATAAAAAGAAAAAAATTAACTAGGTGAGCACAACTTAAGATATAGATATATATATAATATATATATATATATATATGTATGAAGAAAATAGCCAGTTGTGCTCTGACAGAACACTAGATTTAGACAGCTTAAACTTTCTTTCCTGTCTTCTTGTAGTCTTAGAGATTACTGTCACAGGCTGTAGCTCACTAGCCTACTTCTCTTTGTGTTTTTCTCCTGCTATATGAGTGGAAAGTGATCAAGCATGTAGTCCTCAATGAGATCCATGAGTCCTTTGGCCAAACTGGGCAAATGACATTTGAGATTCTTGAAGCACAGTACATGCAAACCAAAGACCTGACAGGAAGGATTTTTAAATTTTTGTTAGGCAATTCTTTCCTCCTCCTTATGCTGGAGTAAAGAAGAAGAAAAGTTTTTATGTTTGCATCACAAGCCACAGTTAAAAGAAACTGAAACTGCATATTTTCATTTTAAGATGATCTAAGATCTTGTTTCTGAGTAAATATCTACATATGGCTTGAATCTTACAGATTGTTCAACCTGCAAAAGAAAAAGCTTTGGAGTGACCTAATTGCAGCCTTCCAGTACTCAAAGGGAGCCTACAAGAAAGAGGGAGATTTTTACAAGGGCATGTAGTGCCAAGACAAGGGGTATGGTTTCAAACTAAAATAGGGTATATTTAGATTAGATATTAGGAAAAAATTCTTCACTATGAGGGTGAAGAGACACTGGAGCAGGTTACTCCCCAGTGAAGCTGTGGATGCTTCATCTCTGGAAGTGTTCAAGGCTAGATTGGATGGGGCTTTGAGCAACCTGGTGTAGTGAAAGGTGTCCCTGCCCATGGCAGGGGGGATTGGAACTGGATGATCTTTACTGTACTTTCCAACACAGGCCATTCTATGATTCTGTTAATTGGGGGTTTTTACAGTGGGAAAAAAACCCTAATAATGGATTTTTTGTATTAAATGTATGAAAAACAAAGTGTAGGGTGATCCCTCAATATTTTGGCTTAGGTATCTGGTTTGCTGTAAGTGCTGTTGTGTATGGAGCAACACTTTTCAAACTGTACCCACAGGTGTCCTGGGTAACTCCAGAGAATACAGGGCATACTGAATATGTTATGGTTCGTAGTAAATGCAGTGCAGAATACCATGGCAGAGGGAATAGTTCCATGATTACGTAAAAGTGGCTTTTCTTAGTCAGTTACTTAGTGTTTGGATCTTTCTTGAGTGAAACTGGAACCATAAACTGCCTAACAAAAGTTCGTCGAGCTTTGTTGCGAAACAGCCTCACTCTTGCCATGGACAACAGTATTTCAATGAGGTTCCTCAATCCTTGATTGTTCTTGCAGGGAATTTTCATATAAGTGCAAGGGTTACACAACAGCAGGGCAGTAGCTGTTTTTGTTGCTGCCAGAATCCATGTGCCTTGCACAGGCAGGCAGCTGATTTCCTGCTGCTGTCCACCACTGCTGCTTTCATGTCGGAAATGATGAGCAAGTGGAGGGACTGCTGGCAAAGTGCATTTCAGGGGTTTGAGTAGTTGGTGTTTCAAAATAATGCTGAAGGACAGTCAGTAATGCTTTTGTCTGCTTATTTTTTTCATAGGAAATTCTAAGTGGGAAAGAAGCACTGGATAAGCTAATCAACAGACTACTGGAGTTTGCAGAGATAGAGGCTGTCACCCAATATCTAGAAAATTTGCAGGCTTTAGAAGGAGGAGGCTGAAGACCTCAGGTAGAATTAGAAGAGAATTGTTGTGTTTGGTAGCCAAATAAAACAGATATGTTTGTCAGATTATGATGTTGATTAAAACCTATTTCTCTGTTTTTCAGTGTGTGATCCTATTCTTTTTGTATCTTGCTGCAAGTGGGTTGAATTTATTGCAGCAGCCGTGGCAGAAAAGCATCAGCTTGGAGTGTGCACACTTCTCCTGTCTTGGCAGCTGGACTTTGTTAAGCTGGTCATTCTCTTGACAGTATCACAGGGGGAAAGGGGCAGAATTGTGGTGGTGGAGCAGAATAAATACCACATAGTGCACTTTTTGTTTGCTGGTGGGAGGTGTTCCTCTCCAGATGAAAGGAACTGAGCTCCCCTAACATAGTCTAGAACTTGGCCTTATGAATACTATTTATTTTTTTCCACTTACTGTGTGAGCTTCCTAAATTAAATCCCTTAGAAATAGCTTTGTATTATGAGGCTTTTTTTTTTTTTTTAGAGTAAATATACAAAAGCAAAGGGAGTGAAGGGGCCAGAACGTTAAGAGAGAAGCCTATTAAATTTCTTTCAGGAATACTTGGGTCAGCTTGTGGTGGGACTGGCCCATGTCCTGCAGTGCCATGTAGAAGTACGTGCTCTAGTTTTCATTTAAGTTTATGAGGTAACAGGCAGCTCCCTGCCTCCTGGCAGAGAAAATGAGTTCATACTACAGATGCGTTTCAGGAAACCAGGTAGCTCTGGAATTCAGCTCCTGTCTTTGGGAATGTCTGCCTTTGCCTGTCCTTGAGAGGATCCAGATGTCTACAGGGCACACTCGGCTTTGACAAGACTCACGCTGATGTTTTGCCCTGCACATATGCAGTGCTGGCTGGCACTGAGCACAGGCAGGCACTCCTTGTAGGCCTGACTCAGGAATGCTCCTTGCTCAGGGTGACACAAAGATTGGTGCTCTGCTCAGCTGGGTTCACTTGCCAGATCATGGCATCTTCTTTTCATCCTGCAGTTCTGCAGGAAAGCTGCTCTGCACTGTCTTCTGCATGAGAAGAACCAGTTCATTGTTTCAATTTAAATGATGCCTTGTGGTTGATTTATATTTGCATATTTATTTTGTAATCAGGAATGATGCAGTGTGAGGAAATGTTCTTCTAAAGTGTGTAGTTTTTATTGCTATATATAGAACAACAATTGTAACATTATTCAGCTATATTAAGAAAGATAGATAGAATTTGTAACAGGAAGCAAGCAGGAAAACTATACTCAGTTCTTCCATTCTGCAATTATTTTTCCCATTCTTTTGTCTGTTCTTGTCAGCAAGCTTTGTCTGACAATTTCTCTCTTGCTTCCAGCACTTTAATTACAGAAGCTTTGGGGCTTTGGTTGGGTTGGTTGGTTTTTCTTTTTTTAATTGGTAGCTCTGCAAGTCAATCAGAAAACTTATTACTGTGCAATTCAGGATTCATTTGGACTTCGACTTTGTTCAGTAAGCAGTCCAGAAAAAGAACCCTCCAGAGAGATCTGCAACTGAGCTTATACTTCTTGCAGTGCCAACAGACTGGTGATAACTAATATGATCAGCTGTAATAGGAGAATATCCAGCTAACATGGTTATCCAATTACCATGCTCACTTTCATTGTGCAATTAAATGCACCAATTAATTTTATTAATTATATGTCTCAAACATTTCTAAGTTTCTCTTAGGAAATTCTTAAAAAATTTAAATAAAAAGATGCCACTTCGAGGATTAGTTAGTGTCTATGAAATTCTTTACAATGAAAAATTATTGAAATGCTTAAAAATATGAGTCTTGTTTATTTTACTGGAAGATAGAGAGTGATATTTCTGCAAGACCTTGTGGATATTTGTGATTGATTAATTTTCTGTAGCCCTTTTTTGTTGATGGTTTTGTGCATAGTGATGAGAAGAGGGAAAGCAGACAGCATCTTCCCTCTTTACTAAGTTTTGGATGTCCCAAATGTAGGTATTGAAATTTAGAAGCTGAGCCCCTTCTGCACTCAGGAGATCCTGAAGGGTCTTTGTCCTAAGCTTTTCCTGCAAATGCACATACATGTGCATGGCAGCAAAATACAGCTGTGACAGTTTGGCATAGAGTGGAAACACTTCTACTGGAGGCCACTGCCTGCAATGCTCTGCTTTGCTAAAACCAGGTATATTTGCTTCTCCTCATTGATAACATGTTACTTGAAACTGTTTTCTCCAAACTTAAAAAATTCTTGAAGATGTATTTTATTCTAAGCTCTTCCACCCCAACCTTTCTGTGGGATTAAAGAGCTGAGAGATTGTGTTTGACCATGGCCTGGCACTTGTCCTCAAGGAAGGGATATGCAGCATAACACTGCTATTTCTGAGGTGTATTCAGGATAGAATATTTCAGCGTGGGCTTTTTGGTTCCTAATAGCAATCAGGACTTTCAGCAGCAAAATCAATAGCAAGAAGAATTACAGTAACAAAGCACACGGAGGAAAAGGGAAACAGTTTCTTGGGGAGAAACAAACAACGCGGGGGAATAGCACAAGGGAGCAAGAGGAGGTTCCTCTGCTCAAAACAGCCTTCTCCTGCAGCTTTCCTTGTCCCATAGCGTTACAACAAACAAGAATTACCACTGCTCCGCCTGGCTTCCCCTCGTCTGATGGATGTCACATCACAGCTCGTGAAAGGCACCAACTTCACTGCTCTGCAGATCCTGCTGATTGATAGGAAATGTAGCTCCCGGATCTCTTTCATTTGTCTGCTGAGGTCTCACACAGCAGCGTCTGACCCAGGCAGCAGGGAAGCCAGACAAAAGCTGTGTGTGCCTGGAAGGAACAGCCCTGCCATGGCAGTGGAGAGATGGATGTTTACCCTCTGCAAAAGGAGTGCAGCCCGGGTACCTCGCCTCGATTGCTTTCATTGAGTCATCGAGTGTGTATCTGACTCTCAGAGCACTGCTCATTGTTCCTGAGGCCAGCAAACATGCAATACTGAATCACAGTCAGTTATAATCAAAAAACTCATATATTCAGCTTTATTTTGAATGTTACTAACAGTAACTGCAACAAATCTTAAGCTGAACTGAGTTAAAATTTTTTAAATAAAAAATTTAAACCCACAGTCTTTGTTACTTGTAACTGATGCACAGAATAAACTAATTTCCAGTTACTGCTTAAGGTGCTACAGGAAGGCACACAGACATTCTGTTGGTAGACACAAAATAAAAGTATTTATTTTTAACAAGCATTTACATATTTACAGACCTATTTTAGTTTATATTTACCCAAGGCCCCATTTTGAACAGAATCTGCACCCCTAAATCTCTCAGGTTGCCTTAAACCCCCTGAACAGATGCACGATAGTAACGCAGATTGGTCAAATGAAAGCTTTATTCGGTATTTTCATATAAATTCCACTTCAAGAGCTTGCAATATTTTGTAATTGCAACTGAGAAGAGAAACCAGCTGTTTTAACTTTGCAGACATTACTTATATACTAAAACAAACACTTTTCAATCAACCCAAGCAAGCCATTAAAATCCACTGTCTCCAGCCCATGATCTGTACAACACTGCTGGTTTTTAACATAGGCTATTTATGGTTTTACAGGTAAAATCAAATCTGCTTTTGAGAATCCCGGGGATTCCCCAAATTTTCCAGGAATCTCTGAAATCTGTCTCTCTGGAATCCTCCTGGGCAAATTTAGCTTTTTGAGATGATAATTTGCAAAACTTTTTGCTTTGTACGGAAACTTTTATTCAAGTTCTATCCTGAAACATTTCACAAAGCTAAACCTGTTAATCACACAAATGGTTAACACAAATTCTAAGTTAAATAATTTAGCAGGTAGAAGGTAGGAGCACTTAAGAGGTAGATAGAAGAGAGACTAAAGAGGTCTGGCTGACAAAACAGAGCCCAAGGGTTGCCACAGCTGATAGAAGGAAGTATAAAGAGGTATAGCTTTTGTACCAACAAGCAAAAGGATCCAAGGGCTGCAAACCCTGTAGGAGGAATGGAATGGAATTTGTCTTGGGAAAAGGAATTATCAAGGAAATCAAAAGAGCACGTGTAGTCAAGGTTTGAAATAGCATGTGTGTTGCTGGAAAACAGACAGGATTCTTCAGGGCACAGTGCACACAGGCAGCAGAAGTGCTCATGGGAGCTGGGACCTGGACACATGGTGGCTACAGAAGAACACGAAGCTTTCTGGAAATCTCAGCAGAGCAGGGAGAAGGTGAAGGAGGACACCAGAAACACGGCACAGCGGTGATAGAGATTTGCATATCTGGGAATACTGCAGGAAGACAATTCGAGGAAGACAGCAATTATAAGAAATGTACTAAAAAGGGGGAGACACAACTCAAAACTAATCAAAGAAACCAAGCAGCATGAAATTGTTTTTTACTCCCTTTCTGAGATGCCAGAATTTTTACTGAAATAAAACTTCTTTCAGGGAAGAAAGAAAAAGGAGAAATATTTTTATACATGCACAGGTTAGTGAATTTAGCACAGATCCACATCATAACCAGCCCTCCCACTTCTAAAACTGAATATTGGAACTGGATGATGCTGCAGGCACAGATTTTATCTATGAGGGTCAAACAAAACTTTATACTATTATGAAAGTGTGGATTTCAATCACAAATCCCCAGGTGAAGGATTAAAATGTATTTTAGCCTAAACAGGAACAAGGATTATTCTATAATATGGATAAAACTGAGCAGTCTCTGTACAGCTCCTGGCATAGCAAATGCCCCAAAAATTTTTTTTTTCTTTTTTCTGTATATGCAATATATTTGCTTCTAAAAGCATCATCAACTTCAGGCAGGCGTTGCCGTAAAAACACACACAAGTCTTATGCTGTGAAGCTGCCTTTCTAAGCAGACAAGTTGGATGAAAACATGAGGCAAGGAAAGAAAAATACACAACAGTGAATTGACTGGCTTGAAACCACACAGAAAAATCACCATCAGAAATTGCAATGACTCCCCCTTGCTCTCTGGCTCTCCTCATATTACTCGTAATATCTATGACATCATACAAAACAAGGGTGTAGTCCTCACTCAAGGAGGTTGCAATAAAAACCAAGGAGGTTGCAATAAAAACAGGCAAGCAGATAAAAGCACT